TCCCAGTCGTTCGTTTCTGGGTTGAATGCCGGTAGGGAAGACGAGAATTTCTGGGTGGAAGTCATCTTGGAGTCGCGGATAGTTTCTTGCTTCGGAAGGCTGCGTGGAGGAGCTCTTGCTTCGAAGTAGATTGCTTGCCACGAGGTTGCCCTTGTCGTGCAGTCTTACTGGGATCCCATCCTTCGTCGCCAGTGTTAGATCGCGCAGGCAGTAAGACACGAGTCGAGTGACAGTCAGCTCTCTGGGCTAGGGGAGCCCTCTTTTATGGGATTCCCCTGGCTTGTAATCACACAATTCCATTGGCTGGTAAGACCATGTTGCTAGTTAGCCAACCAGCAACGGGCATGAAACTGTATGCAGATGGAGAAGGGCAATCACCCTTAATGGGCGATCAATGGTGAAGGGCAATCACCCTTAATGGGTGTTCAGGATATGCATAGGGGATTAAGGGGGGGGAATACAAAGAACACAACAGTAAGCCCTTGAGATTTGTATAGAGAGGAAAAAGTGGAGACAAATTGACCCCATTTTGATACTCTTTCATATGGCCCTGAAGACTTGGTTTTGCCAATGGGCCTGTCTGGGGAACCCAATGTGAGATGGAGCCCATCAAGTGGCTTATTGGATTGAGTGATTGTTGTTGCCAGGTAGGTGGGAGGTAATTGATTTTTATTGATTTTTTATATTGGATTTTTGTCTTTATAAGCTGCCCAGAGTCACTGAGAGTGAGTTGGGCAGGCATATGAATTTTCATAAATGAATGAATGAATGAATGAATGAATGAATGATTGTCTATGGCTTTACATTACATTAAGCCATTATAGAATGAGGCTTATTTATGGCTTAAAGCAGCACCCCCCAACCTTTTGGGCACCAGGGACCAGTTCCATGGAGAAAGGTTTTTCCACGGACTGGAGGGGGCATGGTTTTGTGTGCTGCCTGCATCCCATGGAAGGGGCTTTGCTTGTGTGTGCGGACAGGTTGCTGGCATGCCATGGACAGGTGCCAGTCCATGGAACTGGGGGTTGGGGACCTCTGACTTAAAGTGTCAGATGTGGTTCTTCAATGTCATGGTTAATCAAACTACAGCCTGATCTGATGGTATGAAAGTAGGCAGAATCATAAATGTGATTTAAAAAAACCTCCTCATTTGTAAACCCACCTTGATCGGATCATTTTAGCAACAGAAGAGGTGTCTTCCTTGCATGTCCCTAACATTCTACATAGTTGTTTATTCTAGAACATTATTCTGTTCTGTTATTTAAGGAGAAATTAGTCGTTCATTTGATTCTCATGGCAACATACACATAATGCCTGGCAACCTTGCTGAGATTATACAGTCAGTCTTTAAAAGTATTCCTGGACTGAACTCAGACTCTCCATTCTGAAACAATAGGATTGCTGGGAGAGATTGCCAGGCTCTTTTTTTTTAAACACAGTGAATGAGAGAAAACACCTCCTCCCTTTTTTCAGTTCTAAAGGACAAAAATGTTTTATTAATGTATACAGAAAGAAGAGCATTAGCATCATGGGTCAAGGTATCCAAGCCTACCTTCAGCACATTCTTTGGTTCTGTGATCCTCCTCATTCATTCTTTTCTGACCCATTTTTGCTTTCATCCTTCAGTGGTATTAAAAAGAAATGCAAGCATGCCTTGAGGATGACAATAAGATCTGCCATTTTGCAGAGAAATTGGAAGACTGCGGGAAAGGAAAAAAGTCACCCCTACCAAATAGATGTCATGCATGAATACACTATCACCACAAATGTGTTTATGCATTTACTTTTTAATCTTGCGCTAATTGACTTTGGCAAGATAAGATGAAGGAACAAATTATTTAGCTATTAGGAGGATGGCATTAGATGTAGAACAAAAGTCTTTTTTTAAAAAAAAAGAAAACAAAGGGAACTGACTAAATAATTTACTATACAGTACCCTCTTGGCATAGTGATTATAAGAGTTAAAATATAATTTATGGTAATTCCTACTATTGGTGTCCTTCCAGATGTGCTAGACTCTAATTTCTGATATGGTAACCATGACAGTCAATAGGCATCTTGGCTGAGGGTAATGGAAATAGCAATCTAACTCGGTCTGCTCCCAAATGCAGTTCAAGGTGTTGCTTATGACCTTTAAAACCCTTAATGGCGTAGGTCCAGGCTACCTGATCAGCTGCCTCATTCTGCTAGGACAGGGGTTGGCAACCTTGGCTCTTTTACGTCTCGTGGACTTCAACTCCCAGAATTCCTGAGCCAGCTCAGGAATTCTGGAAGTTGAAGTCCACGAGTCATAAAAGAGCCAAGGTTGCCTATCCCTGCGCTAGGACAAGCCTGTCGTACTTGTACTAGCAGAGAGGGCCTACTTCGAATCCTGTCAGTCAAAGAACTCCAACTATCGGGATCCAGAAGAAGAGCCTTCTCTGCTGCAGTTGCCTGCTTTTTGGAACATCTTACACCTCCTAAATTAAGATCCGCCTCAACCCTCCATTCCTTCTACAGAAGCCTGAAGACTGGGCTCTGCAGGTTGGCCTGGGAATCAAATGGGGGAGTTCCACACCGGAGGTGGCTGTAAGATTAATGGCATGCTCGATCTCCTACTACTTGCTCTCTGTTCTCCACCCATCCACCTTTTGAGTTATCATATTGATGTATTCTCGTTGTGTTCTTTTTTCATTGTTTATTTTATTGTTCTATTGTCCTACTTCTGTTTATACTCCTTTCATTTTCTTTTTTTTAATTATTGTAAGCTGCCTTACATGGCAAGATGGGCAGCAAATAAATTTAACAAATAAATAAATAAATCTTTGGCGGATATTAGGTTAGGTATTAATTGTTGTAAATGCTTAATTCTCTGGCAGAGCAGCCTCGTCCCCTGTTTTGCAGATAATTATTATGATTTGCCTCCGTTTGGAAGTGATACTAGAGCCTCCAAGACTTTGTCACTGTCCAGAAAGGATTTCCTGATTTCAATTACATGATTTCTTTCTTCTTTCTTGTTTCCTGCTGCTGAAACAGTACCCAGATGGGCTCTCATAGCAATTGCTGTAGCAGCAGGCCTAGTCCTGCTACTTTTCCTTATCTGTATCATCAAGTGCTGCTGCTGCAAGAAGAAACGCAAGAAGAAGGAGAAACTCCACTTAGCAAGCATTAATGGTGCCTCCACAACAGCCAGCTTGGTAGGTACTGTTCACTTTTAGGATGGAATAGCATTTTGCTTTTTAAGTTCAAGTTTCAAGAGGACTTTAACCCTTGGAGAACTTTCAATGAGTTTTCGGTTACAAGACAGCTTGGCTTCTAGCCTTGAAGTACAAATACATGGCAGGTGGATAGGAAAACAAGATGGATACAATCAGTGGTGGGATTCAAATATGTGAACAACTGGTTCTCTGTGTGGATGCCGCTTCCAGAAGTCCGTTCTGGGCAACAAAAAATTAGCTATTGGTTCTGCCAAACTGATGTGAACTGGCTCAATCCCACCACTGGATACAATTCAACTGATCTCAGTTAGGGGTTGAGCCAGAACTGGCAACCAGGGAGTCAAAAAAATTAAATTGGTGGCCATGAATGCTTAATCAAAGTTATGATTCATATTAAGAAGGGCACAGAGCTTTAGTGGTGCGCTTGTGTCTGCCATCTTGACTGTTTGATCATCTGTGCAGATGTCCCTGGTAGCTAAGTGATTGGGAACAGTTGATATGACAGAGAAGCTCAATCTGGGACTATATTAGTACCTGTGATGGATTATTAATTAAATCATACAGAAGTCTGATTTTTACTCCTTGGCTCCAAATACCTATTTCTTAGTACAGGTGCTCCATAATTAACAACCATTTGTTCAGTGACCATTCAAACTTGTGATGACACTGAATGAGGATACTTATGACTGGTCCTCGGGGGTCTGGCTGACACAGTGGGAAAATTGGGCAAACCACCCAGATTTCTGACCAGCACAGTGTCCCACAGTCATGTGATTGTAATTTGCAATCTCCTCTTCTGTCTTCCCACAAGCAAAATCAATGGGGAACAGGCAGAAAATCAGAAGTTGTGGGCACATGAGGTCCTCACTTAACAACCCATGAGGATTCACTTAACAATAATAACCAGGAACTGCTGTCACTAAGTGGTATCATCATATGATATCACACTTTACAATTGATTCACTTAGTGATGGAAATTTCAGTCCCAATTACTGTTGTTAAACAAAAACTACCTGTAACACATTTTCAAAGCACAATTTTTCATTGCCACTGATAAGACTTGATAGATTTTGAATTTGTTTTGGGTCTCCGAGAACTGAATATAATACAATAAACACCAGAGGGTTGTTGTTATAGAGAAAAATAGAAGGTGGGACACACTGAGTTCCTGAATGTAAGATGGCATACAGAATATACAGTTAATCCAAAGTCAGTCACACTTCATAGACCATTTATTATATGAATTGCATTGAAAGTTTGAATGAAAGGTGCCAATATTTTGATGTAGGTCCAGCCTGATTTGGAAGACATTGAATGTGGACTGGAAGATGAGAAACGTGGACGGCTGCAATATTCCCTAGAATATGACTTTCGTGGCCAGGAGGTATGCTTCACAAATCCCAGGGTGACAAATTTGCACTCCTCTTTTATTGCAAAGCAATATTAAATAGCAATACTTTTCCTTCCTGCATTTCACGTGTTTTGTTTTCATGTGGGCAACTTTGTATGTCTTCCTTTATTCTACATTGATTCTTTCATCCAGTTTTAGAAAAGCTACTGTCCTATTGGCAAATGCTCATAAACTGCATAGCTTCTGGGTTCTTCCTATTCATTATTACTCCAACAGAACTTAAGGGAAAAGTTAAAGCATTCACTGAAACCGATACGGGTCCTGTATTTTGACTGACTGTGATTGCTCAATAGGTCTTTATTCCCCATGATGTTTGGGCAACACCAGCAAGCAATTAGAGAATGATCAGATTTTGGCAAAGGACTGATGGTAAAGTCTTCTACTAACAGATCCTGTCACAACTGTTTGGTACAAAAAAAAATATAGATCTAACATGCAGCCAAGCATGTTTTGAACCCTCAACGACTTAGGTCACAGGTCGGCAACCTGCGGCTCCAGAGCCACATGCGGCTCTTTCAGCCTTCCCCTGCAGCTCCCAGCCTTCTCTGCCATTTGCAGAGAGAGACAGAGAGAAGCACTTGTGCTTCGCTTTGCATCTCTCTCTCTCTCTCTCTCTCTCTCTCTCTCTCTCTCTCTCTCTCTCTCTCTCTCTCTCTCTCTCTCTCTCTCTCTCTCTCTCTCTTTCTTTCTCTGTGTGTGTGTAAAAAAGAGAGTGGCCTCACCCTGTTGGACAAGCCGACAAGCTTACTGGGCGGGGCTCATGCCTTAGTTGTGTCTCTGCAGGAAGCAGGAAACAGGGGTAGGTTTGCCTACCCCTGAGCTTGTTGGAGAACAGCTTGAAGCCAGCTTGCCAGGTGAGCAGAAGATTGGAGAGAAGGAGAGGGGGGGGAGAGAAACAGAGAGAGAGGGAGGGAGCGAGAGCGAGAGGGGGGAGGGAAAGAGAGAGAGGAAAGAGAGAGAGAGAAAGAAAGAGAGTGGGGAAAGAGGATTGGCAGACTAAGGGCAGAAAGAGAGAGGGAGGGAGAGAGAGACAGAGAAAGACATTTTTGACATCTAAAATGAAGATAACACTGCATATATCCTTTATATATATATATAAAGGTAAAAAAAGGATATATGCAGTGTTATCTTCATTTTAGATATCAAAAGGGTTTTGTGGCTCCCAGTGTTTTGTTTTCGGTGGGAAATGGGTCCAAGTGGCTCTTTGAGTGTTTTGAGTTACCTGCCCCTGACTTAGGTAAATTCCGTGACTTAATACCATCTAGGCAAATTAAAGTTTCTCAAACCAAGTGACAGAATCTAGAAGTTTATTGAAGGATGTTGTTGTGCAGTAGGGAGACCAATATAGCAAAAACAAACCCAACTGTTCCCTAGAGTCAAATTTTATCCAGAGGATCTAATGTCACAACTTTTACGAACTTTACTTCTCTATTTTGGTTTGCTTGCCTACTCCACTTCTAGCCCATTTCTACAGATTTGCAAATTTAATACACTCTGTCCATTTCAAGAGTTTCATATTTTTGAATTGATTCTCTAAGTTGAAGGTTGGAGTAAAGCAGGCAGCAGATCTAAAGGCCATGGACAGTGGAGGTACTTCTGATCCCTACGTGATTGTCTTCCTGACATCTGACATAAGGAAGAAGTATGAAACAAAGGTTCATCGTAAGACACTCAGTCCTGTTTTCAATGAGAGCTTCATTTTTCAGGTAGGATGCAAGGCCCTCTGTAAGTTCATTGACCTGATTCAATACAGTTTGGTATTCTTAAAATTTAGCTTAGAAGTTTGCAGAAATATTCACTAACAAAATTTTCATTGTTATTTCATGCTCTCGGTTAGTTTAATTTACTTTAGTATGATTTGTGATGTTGAGTTTACAAACCCTGTCTTCTATTAAAATCACTTGTAGACTTCTAGTTCATGTATTTAGGATAAAACAAAAGTAAATTTCTGGATTTAGATGAAGGTACATGTTACCCAGGGCTTTTTTTTGTCATAGAATGCTCAGAACGGAGTTCCGGCACCTTTTTTGGATGGAACCTTGTAGGATAGGCAAGGCGGGTTGTATGACGTGTGTGAGTTCCGGCACCTTTTTTTTTTTTTTTTAGATAAAAAGCACTGGTGTTACCTATATACTACTAAAATTCTTGTGTTTGTAACCTTTAATTGTGCAAAATGGTGCATCGTAAGGCAAAACCTTTCCAACCAAGGTACCTCAAATGGGCTAACTTACAAAATGCCGGGAGCCATTACTCCTGTGGGAATGAAATTTTGGAAAGTTCTTACTGTTTTCAGTGCCACTGGTGTTCAGTGCTGTCATGTTACACTTCCTGGTACCTCCCCACAAGTCAGTCAGGAAGCCTGGGAAGCTGTCTGGGAGAAAGTCAATGGAATGACATGACTGTGGCTGATGGTGGGAGTTTAGTGGCAGTTTGGAACTTGCAACTTCTTTCCTGGGAAACTTCCAGGGTGAAAGTCAATGGGGAACCTTGCAGAGAAGGTCACAAGTTCCTCGGGTAAGTCTCCTGCACCTGCACAGTCTCTGCCAATCTCTCTGCAGTCGTGAATATATCTGAAAGAATAATCCAACAAGTCACAGGTTGTGTAGTTATCTACAAAACCCTTAATGGAGTAGGGCTTGATTCTTAGAGGAACTGCCTGTCTATGATAGTCCATGAGGCAGAGTGGATGTGCCTTGGATCCTTTTGATTAAATATTATCATCTACCAAGACTTAAGAAGCATACCTTGTTTGTTGTGGCACCTGTAACACCGTTCCCTCAGTCCAAAATCCCTACCGGTTCCACCCTGTTGGAAAACCAATGTTGGAGAACCAATCTTGGGCAAAATAACAATCTTGGACACAACTTTTTGACACCATTCTTACTTTGCAGGGTGATTTTCCCATATCACACAGATTCACTGCTTCATAATTTCAGAAAGACATGGAATTTCATCCATTGGTAGAAGTGAAATTGCCATTCTCTTTTTACCCCATCTCTAGGTCTCCCAGGCACAGGTGACTGAAGCTGTACTGGTCATGCAAGTGTATGATTTCAATCGTTTTTCTAAACATGACATAATTGGTGAGGTGAGTCTGCCTCTTGTGGATGTGGACTTACAGCATGTAATGGAACAATGGCTTGATCTGTCTCCAGCTGGCAAGATAGAGGTACGTATCTCAGACGTGAGGGTGACAGTTTTTTTTAATTTGAAGTGATCTGGCATCTTATTCATTCTGGGCAAGGGAAGCAACTCCCAGCTTCATTTTTATGTGTCAAAAGCTTTCCAAAGGTATATCATATGGACATGAAACAAATGTTTTGCCTTGAGCGGTATTAGTTGTTACTTCAGATACAACAGCAATAAACTGAGAGTGATAAGATGAATAATTATTTCATTTCAACTACTCAATTTTCAGAAATGTAAAAATAAGAAGCAAATAATTTAGATGCCTTCCTTATTAGTCATCTCACCCTCTCAGTGCCAGACCTCTTCTGGATCCCCAGACTGAAAAAAAACCAACCCCAAATAACTCTGACCCCAATACCTGCTCAGCTTTGATGCAGAAAATGGAATAAAATCTCACAAAAGTTCATTATGAAACTCTGGAGCTGGGGAAGGAAAATGCTGACTGGTTTTGTTTAATCGAAGAGTTAGATCTTAGTGCTTATTCTCTTGACCAGTCAAAAGTGCTCTTTCAAGCTTAATTATGCAGATTGTATCACTTTACTGTTATAGGAGTTTAATTATATAGGAGTTGTTTCCCATGCTGAAGGGTTTGTAAATTCTTCTGCATGTGGGGCATATGTTAATAATAATAATAATAATAATAATAATAATAATAATAATAATAATAATAATAATAATAATAAAAACTTGGAAGGGACCTTGGAGGTCATCTAGTCCAACCCCCTGCTCAGGCAGGAAACCCTATACCATTTCAGACAAATGGCTGTCCAGTCTCTTCTTAAAAACTTCCAGTGTGGAGCATTCACAGCTTCTGGAGGCAGGTTTTTCCACTGGTTAATTGTTCTAACTGTCAGGAGGTTTCTCCTTAGTTCTAGGTTGCTTCTCTCCTTGATTAATTTCCACCCTGTTGCTTCTTGTCCTGCCTTCAGGCGCTTTGGAGAATAGCCTGACTCCCTCTTCTTTGTGGCAGCCCCTGAGATATGGGAACACTGCTATCATGTCCCCCCTCGTCCTTCTCTTCATTAAACTAGACATACCCAATTCCAGCAACCGTTCCTTATATGCTTTAGCCTCCAGTCCCCTAATCAACTTTGTTGCTCTTCACTGTACTCTTTGCCAAGGAAGGAAAGAAAGATATTATTGTATAATATGCACAAAAGCAAAACTGAGAATATTGAAACATTTTGGAATAAAATGATTTGGACTGATGAAACAAAAAACAAACACATCATAACTACATAAGATACATTTGAAGAACAAGATGTGGAAGGTTTAAAGAAAAAAGCACTCTGCCAGCCATTAAGCATGGTTCTGGTCCTATTATGTTTTGGGGCTGAATGGCAGTCATTGACCCAGGAAATTCTGGGCAGGTAAAAGGAAGAGTTGGTTCAGGTAAATATCAATGTATCCTGCAAGATGATGTCCCACATTTCAATGAAGAGAGTGAAATGGAAAAGAAATTGGCTATTTCAGAAAGATGAAATATGAAGCTCATTTACAAATCAGCCACGAATCATTCACAGAAAACATAGGTAAAGGTTTTAGAATAGCTTTCACAATCCTGAAATTTAAATATTATTGAATAACTGTAGATACATTTCAAATATGCAAAGAGGCCTAAGAATATGTCTGAAGACTCCTGCAAGGAAAAACAGAAAACATTTCCAAAAATCAAGAATAGAAAGACTTATACTTTGCTATATAAAATATTTGGAAACTCTTATTTCTGTCAAAGAAGATATTACAAAGTGTTCAAACCTTTGCACCTACCATATTCATTGTTTTCATATTTTGATGCCATAAAGAACTGCACATAAATAGTATGTGTTGAAATTGGTAGAAAGATGCTGTGTTTAATTTTGTACAGCCTTGAGCTTGTATCACCTTCTGTTCATTTAGGAAGTTAGCAGCAGGATGCTGAAAGTTTTATATGAAACTACATAGCCTAGGCCCACATTTTACCTCATCATAGTTTGTTGAACAACTCATGATTTTCTAGGTTCAGACATGGCTAACAAACTGTAATGGCTGGATTTGCCTTATACATTAAGGCAGGAGTGTCAAACTGCCGGCCTGTGGGCCAGATGCATCATGCCGAAACTGCACCCACCCCATTGCTGGCAATGGAAAAAAAGTCACGATACGTCGCAACACATCACGTGACGTTGTGAATTTGACACCCCTGCATTAAGGCAAAGCCAAACAAAGCACATTATGGTTTGGAACCATGGTGGCATAGTGGTTAGAATGAAGTATTGCAGGCTAACTCTGAATTCCACTGCCAGGAGTTCAATCCTAATAGGCTCAAGGTTGACTCAGCCTTCCATCCTTCCGAAGTCGGTAAAATGAGGACCCAGATTGTTGGGGGGGGCATATGCTGACTCTGTAAACCGCATTATGAAGCGGTATATAAGTCTAAGTGCTATTGATATTGCTATGCTGTGTGAGCTAAGCCACTTCGAAAAAGTAGTTACTCTTATTAGTTATATCATATTAAGATACTGGGAATTGCATTCCAGGTTCTGGAGGGCATCATATTAGGAAGATACTGTAGATTTAATATTATTAAACTTCCTAAAATAATTTGGAACATTTTGATAAAATTAGTTCTTAGTGGTAAGATATTCTATGCATGTTCAAACAATTACTTTTCTTTGCAAAAGACTCTGACTCCAAATCTGGTTTTTGAAGTAATCAAATTCTTCAAAGAGAGAAGAGATGAGAATAAGTTGGTGTCATTACATAATTAGGTGATTAAATAGGGTCAGTATTTAATTATGTTATTTATATGTAATATTAATTTATTCATCTATATTCTAGATTTTATTTGTATTATTTACCAAATGTTGCTCTTTGGTAGTAAAGTAGGCTATAATTCCAATGACTAAATAAATAGTAGGGCTACATAAATGATGTTGTGGCAAGAAATTTACTCACTTTGTACCATTGGAGCAAAGCCAACTCATCACTTAATATCTGGCCACTTATGCTGTCAAGACTATGAGGAGAGACATAAGCAATTTTTTTTTTCAAAGTAAAGATCAGCTTGCAATATGTACTTCTTATTTTTGGTCAGTTATAAAACGAATTATAAAATGCTGCAACTGGCAAGTGTACCATACAATTAAACCTCACTTATTTGAAGTTGCAATAGTGCTAAAAAAATAGATTTATGACTGGTCCTCAAACTTGCTGCCATTGCAGTGTCCCTGTGGTTGCACAATTGTAATCTGGACACTTTGCAACTGAAACATATTTATGACAGTTACACTGCTCCACAGTCATGTGAGTGCCACTTGCAAGCTGAACAGCTGGGAAGCAAAATCTATGGGGAAGCCAGCAGGAAGTCACAGGTCTCAGTTACATGATGTCATGTTTAACAAACCATGGTGATTTGCTTCATGACTGCAGCAGAACCGACTGGCATGATCACATACATCTCACTTAATGATTGCATTGCTTAGTGACAGAATTGCTAGTCCCAATTTGAGGTCAGTAAGTGAAAACTATGTGTATTTTCTCTTTTCTCAGGAATGATGCCGGGGAATCAATTCTAATAGCATAGCTTGGACTAATATCCTTTGATTAGACAGATAGGCATACAATAGATCTGGGTGATGGAGCTGCATGTACAATTAGGATTCATCCAATCTCCTTGCTTCAGTTTGGCATAGTTAAACACTGCATCTTACCGCACCAGTTGTAGGGTAAACTGAACGTATGGAGCTTACTGAAAAAGCTCATTAAGGTCACTTCCAAAGGTTTCAAACCAGCTCTGGACCTCAGTGATCCTATGATATTGGCAGTGTTCAGAAGCTGAGCTGATTTCTTTCAAGTCAGCTATGGGGTAACTGAAACCATTAGGCCAGGCTAATAGGTGTGAAATGCTGTGGTTCTGTAAACAGCCTGTTTCCCCATTTGCAAAAACGTATGCCTCGTCCTGTTTCCTATCTCCTAGGCTTCATTTTTAAAAAAAAAGATATAGGTGACTTGATGTCATTTCTATTGCCCCTAAGAGTTCCCCCCCCCCAGATGTCTAACTGACATACTGTATGCAACTTCAAGTAAGACGATACAAACAGAGGAGGGTGTACAAGCAATCCATTTTATTTCTATTTTGTTTGGAATGAGGGTGAGGACAAGATTGTTTCTCTAGGATATAGTGGGACATAGTGATTTTTTGCTCCTTGTTCTGAAAGGTCACAGAAAGAAATATTGTTCCTTGGCTTGTGGGCTGATCAAGTGCACTACCTCTTCTTATTGTGTACTATCTTCAGACTGAGCAATTGGGATGTGTATACAGTGACAGAGTGGAAGTGCCTTGAATAAAAGAAACTCTGTGTCCTCTAGTAAAATCTGTATCAATAAGTTATCCTATGCAGCATTTTCAGTGAGGCAATCAACCTTCCAAGCTGCCCCTCAAGGCTATTTCAGTGGTTGAAATATTCTGCGGGAGAGTGTAAGAGAATGATATAATGATGAAGGATTTGGATGCAATGAAGAGTAGAATGAAGCATCAAGGAAATTCACCAGTCAATGGATCCAGAATATCTGAAAGCACACGTTGGACACCACACATTTATACTTTTAAGCAACTGCTCCCTTTCATTCTTCAACCATCTTGATTAAGCATAGAAATGTAGTTAAATTTTAACCTGTGATGAAAGAGCATTCTTACTGCTGGATAAAAGGATTATCCCACCCATTCTGAGTCAGCTCAAAACAATGCTGGCATAAAATTGGCTGACCCTATGGCCAGACCTGAGAGTTCTGTTCTGAATCACTGACAAAAGGTGGTTTATTTTTGAACATGCCCGTTGATATAGCCATTGTAGTGGGGCTGGCTGAAAGGCTTTGCAGGAGCCTGCCTGGGGAGAGGGAAGCTCAGACAGCTGCTGCTGGTTTTGGGCATGGCAGGCGTGGATCGGGCAGAAGGAAAGAAAAAGGAGGAAAGAAAGGGAGTGAGGGTTGTCGGAGAGA